AGATGGACACAATACCTTTATATGTTTATTTTTATGTGATGCCATGATCAAACCCAGTGCCTCAGGCATGCTAGGCAAGCACTCTACCACTGAGCCACAACCCTGGCCCCAAGTTTAACATTTTGATCACTATCATCCATGTCACCCTTACCCAGCCCCTGGAACTACCCTYCTACCTCTGTTTCTATGAGTGTCTTCTTTAGATTCTATATAGAAATGAAATCATGCAGTATTTCTCTTTCTAGCTTATTTCATTAGGATAATGCCCTCCATGTCCATCCATGTTGGTACAAATGGCAGGGTTTCCTTCTTTTTTAAAACAACATTTTCTATGACCATTCATCTGTTGATGGACACTTAGGTTGTAGTTTCCACATTCTGATTATTGTGAGTGACACTGCAGTGAAATGGGAGTGCAGGTGTCTCTTCAGTGTTTTGTTTTGTTTTTCTTTGTGGTAGTGCTGGGATTGAACCCAGAGTCTCACAAATGCTGGGCAAGTGCTCCACCACTGGGCTGTATCCACAGTGATATGGCTTTAAGACAGTGATTTTTATTTCCTTTAGATAAATACCTAGAAGTAGAATTTGTAAATCACAGATTGAAATTTTAATTTTTCGAGGAAAYTCAATCCTATTTTCCATGATGGCTGTATTCATTTACATTTCCACCAACAATGTATATGTGTGCTCTTTCCTCTTTCCTCCTCAATATTTAGCTTTTGATTTTTTTTTTGGGGGGGCGGTATGGGGATTAAACCCAGGAACACTCAACCACTGAGCCACCTCCCCAGCTCTTTTATTTGTATTTCATTTAGAGACAGGGTCTTACTGTGTTACTTAGGGCCTTGCTAAATTGCTAAGGCTGGCTTTGAATTTGCAATCCTCCTGCCTCAGCAGCCTCCTGAGCTGCTGGGATTATAGGCATGCACCACCACTCACCCATAGCCTAGCTTTTGATGTTTTAAAGATAGCAGTCTCTAGCAGGTATGAGGCGACACCTCACTGTACTTTTAGTTWGCATTTCCCTAATGATTAGTGATGTCAAGTGCCTCTTCAAATACCTGCTATTTTCCTTAGAAAAACATTTACTTAAGTCCTTTCCCATTTTTTAACTGAGTTACTTTTGCTATTGAATTATATAAGTTCCTTATATATATTTGGATATTAAACACATTTGGATATAGTGTTTGCAAATATTTTTTTCTCAGTCCAGTTGCCCTTCATTTCTTGCATAAAAACTTTCCAGTTTGGTGGAGTCACACTTGCTTTGGTTTTGGTTTTTTTTTTCTCCTGTGCTTTTGGTGTCATGTCCAAAAAATCATAGTCAAAACAAGGCCATGGAGATTTCCCCTATRTTTTCTCCTAGGAATTTGGAGAAAACATAGGGGAAAATGGTTCCAGATCTTAAATTTAAAATTCTAATTCATTTTCAGTTAATTTTTTGTGTATGGCGTAAGATCAGGATTTAATGTGGGTTTTTTTTGTGTGTGGATATCCAGTATTCTCAATTATTGARGGGACTTTCCTTCCTCCCATTGTGTATTTTTGGCACCTTTGTCAAATATTTCGTTGATTGTACATGCATGAGTTTATTTCTGAACTTTCTATTCTGTTCCATTGGATTGTATGTTTGTTTTTATGCTGATACCACATTATTTTGATTACTAGTTTCCTTATCACCCTAATTTAAAATCAGAATGCCTCCAACTTTGCTCGTCTTGCTCAAGACTATTTTGTTATTCAGTGTCTATTATGGTTCCATATGAATTTTAGGATTTTTTCTACTTCTGCAAAAAATGCCACTGGAATTTTGATAGGGATTACGTTAAATCTGTAGACTGCCATGGGTAAACACAGACATTCTGATCACATTGATTCTACTGAGAAGATTCTTTAATGGCTTGCTGTGAACACAGTCTCAGTCCTTTCAAGATCTGGGCCTGGGAAGAATGTTCAGTCCAGCAGGTTCTCACCTCCACTCTCCGCTAGTTTCACTAGCTCCTCTCAAAGGAGCCCTCTCCTCATGGCCCTGGCTCCTCGGGGAGATGAGGAGCACCCTCATGTGCAGGCCAGGTTAGAACAGGTGGCAGCAGGCTCAGGGAGGGACTCTCAACAGGCTTCCCCTGTATGCATGGCCTACTCTCTCTGCTCAGGTGAGAAGGAAAATGACCAGGGACATGAGCAAGCCCATTCCTTGCTGCCAGGCAGTTAGCCCACAGGTGGGAAGGTAGAATCCTTTATGCACTTGGAGAAAAGGACTGACTGCAGAAACGCTACATGGACATGCTGCCTCCATAACTGTTCCAGATCAGTAGTGGCCAGTGGCCCTGCACAGAATTTTCGAGTTTTGGAAGAGAACAGAGGAGCTGTCCCCCATTTCTCTGTGGCCTCCACAATGTCTGAAAGGTCTGCAGGAGGCCAGCAGAATAGCAAGCTCTATGCACAGGGGTCAGAGCACAGGATCCAGACTCCAGCTCTTCCACGTCCTCCTAACTGTGTCACCATGAGCAAGTGGTCTCATGTCTTTGAGTCTCAGTTTCCTTGTCTATAAAATACATCTATAAAATAATATATATGTACTTCATAAGACTAAACTAAAGGAGTTTTTTTTTTTAGAGAGAAAGAGAATTTTTTTAATATTTATTTATTTATTTTTTTAGTTTTCGGCGGACACAACATCTTTGTTTGTATGTGGTGCTGAGGATCGAACCCGGGCCGCATGCATGCCAGGCGAGCGCACTACCGCTTGAGCTACATCCCCAGTCCTAAAGGAGATTTTAAAGTATTTAAGTATTTATCATAATATTTGGCATRTGGTTTAAACAAATAGTAGTTCTAGAAGCTCTTCTGCCTGTGAGTGTGGCTGAGTATATACCTGATCCTCAGTCAGTGTTTCCTTCCTCCCACCTGCAGTCTGATCACTGCAGGCTGTAGGGAGGAGAGCTATGTACTGATTCAAGGCCAAGGCTTCCTCTTCACCTTGTCACAGGACAAAGTTACAGCTATAGGACCCCAGTATCTTCTTGAGAGTTTCAACAAATAATTTCATGGCAAGAAAGGCAGAGAGATTCCTCTGGAAGCCCCAGTTGGACATGTAAAGTAACTACTATAAAAGGCAAGAGGAGGAGGTAATACTTCCTCTGCTCTTCAACAGATGATGCTCACACTGTGAAATGACTGTCCAAGGCCACCAGTAATCTTTGCTTTACATTGGATGCCTCTCCCCACCCACCTACCATCACCCCCTTGCTCATCTGCAAGGACACTATCTGCTCTCAGGCCCTGATCTTTGCCTTCTTGAAGGTCCAAGAAAAGGAGTGACAGAGACACTGAGAAGAGAGGTAACGAGAGTAGTCAGGGAAGAGGCTGGGACTCTACTTAGCCTATTACCCAGAGAGTTTCCTTTCTAAGCCCTACTCACTCACACCTCTCTCCTCTAAAAATATCCAGTGACTTTCACACTTAGAGCTGWCAAGATAAAGCCCAGACTCATTCGTAGCCACCTGAATACTCAACTCTAGCCATGGCCTCTGTTCTGCACTGTGAAGCCCCGAGAAGCACGTGTGGTTCCTGGGGAGCGTGTGCCCTTTCCAGCCCCCAGGCTGTTCCCATGCTGCCACTAGGCCCACAGCCTTGCTCTGGCCCACTCCAATCCAGGCCATCTCTAGCATGCCTTTTGGTCTCAGTCCCCTCTGCACCTAGGCAACTGTCACTCATCTACTGACCATTAGCTTCGTGGGTAAAGACTGTGTCTGGTTTGCAGAGTCCGGTTCCCAGGAGATGCTCTATAAACACTGCTGAATAAATGCACAAATGAGAAGCACTTCTCTAGGCCACAGCAGGAATCTACACCAAGCTGCACACCAGACAGAGYTTCACTGTTCTGACCCAGTGCTGAAGACAGAAAACGTCAAGTCCACTCTCCACACACACTCCTTAATTTAGGCACAAAAGCGCAATGGGCTGACAAGCTCTTCAGAGAAAAACTCTTCCCCAGGCTTGCTGGCATATTTGCGACGATTCTAGCTATGGAAAAGACCCAGGCAGGTGTACGCTAGCTGTGTGGCCTTTGGTTCTGATGTCCTTAATGGTTACATCCATGAATGCCTGGGTGGGTGAGAAGACCTCCGTGGACCCTGGACCCTGTACTCCCAACATGACAAGGCAGAGATTTACCAGATTCACAGAAGTGCTTTAGATGAAAAGCTAGCTATCATGTTACCTTGGATTTAAAATTACTAACTTATGCCAGAAGCATTTAGATAGCATAAAACTATGAACACTGACCCAAGGTGGCCATACTTCCTGGCAGGCTGGATGAACTGCTCCAGATGGAACTGTTTCCACATGGAAAGGACCTGCACCATCCCTTCTCACCATACTGCTGGGTCATGCTCATTTCTTTGGGCTGGGTTTTGTTGCTTTGGTTTCTCTAACACAGCCTTACAATGAAAATTCCTATTATTTGTCCTGGTCTTTGTAAAAATAGCTTTACAACAAATATTAGGTAGAGAAAAAATCTGGCGTCACACCCAAAGTTGCTCATAACTCTTGTGTATGACTCCATCTGCTCATGTACATGGCTGAAGAAACCCATCAGGCCACCAGAGGTAGTCTTTCTGATGCTATAAAGAAACTGCCTGTAGGGGCTGGGGATGTGGCTCAAGCGGTAGCGCGCTCGCCTGGCATGCGTGCGGCCCGGGTTCGATCCTCAGCACCACATACAAACAAAGATGTTGTGTCCGCCAAAAAAATAAATAAATATTTAAAAAAAAAAAAAAAAAAAAGAAACTGCCTGTAAATGGAACCATGCCTGTGAAATTGCGGCATGAAGTTATATAACTTCTGAAAAGAGCCATCCTGCCTTTTCTTCGTGAGACCAAAATTCTTCTCTAATTTCATTTGAAACCTATTTGTTTTCTTTCTTGAAAAAGAATAAAGGTATCCAGGCAAAAATTGTGAAGCTATGGTAGAGTGGCATGAACAGCATGACTACCCACCTGGTTTAATTTCTTTTTCTTGCTTGCATCTCTTCAGATGTTCCACTCTCGGTTAATCAGTGTGAAAATTCTAAAGAACCAGAAGAAAAGGAGAGATTAGATCCAGACACACTCTGAGCTGTAAACTGAAATAATCTTTCTGGGAGGACAAGTTCGCATTATTGATTTACATATTAAATATGCACATCCTCTGAGACAGGCAAATGTCCAGGATATACCATGGATACAGTCAGAAGACTCTAAAGGAATTCAGCAAAACACTTGTAGTAGCAAACAACAGGTGAAATGACTTATACAGTTGTTAATAAAGAAAGTTAAATTGCAGTTAATTGCAGTACAATAAGAAACCATTCAGCTATTTCAAAGGAGAAAGATTTCACTGTATTGACATGGAAAGATGTTCATGCTTGATTGTTGAAAAGATATTGTAAGGACTGGGATTGTGGCTTAGCAGTAGAGCACTCGCCTAGCACGCACAGGGCCTTGGGTTCGTTCCTCAGTACCACATAAAAATAAATGAATGGAATAAAGRTATTGTGTCCAACTAAAAAAATTAATATTTAAAAAAAGTATATTATAAAATTGCATGTATTACTGCTTTTTAATAAAAATATAAATGATTTATTATGTTTAGGAAAAGTGAAGCATTTGTGTATATTCACATTTTTAAAAGTATACACACTTTATACTTTAAGTTTTAAAATAGGGGATGGGGTTGTGGCTCAGTTGGTAGAGTGCTTGCCTGGCATGTGTGAGACACTGGGTTTGATTCTCAGCACCACATATAAGTAAATAAATAAAGGTCAATCACAACTAAAAAAAAAAAAATTTAACTTTTAAAATAAACAGCCAGGCATGGTGGTGTATGCCTCTAATCCCTGAGTCCCTGGGATTTAAAGTTCCTAATGATTCAGGATAAACATAGAAATATTATTTTACTTTAGATAAATTAATCTAATAATAAATATTAAAAATTTAAAGATAAAAACAAAAAAAAACAGAAATAGAATGCATAGGTGCCAAGTCAGTAGAAAGTTCTTGTCTAGAAAAGATAATTATCAGGCTAGAGATGTGACTTAGTGGAAGAACACTTACTAGCATGTGCAAGGCSCTGGATTTGAGCCCAGAATAGGAAAAAATGGAAAAGACTAATTATGAAAAAAATGTCAATCTTTTCCAAATGACTACATCATTTTTATTAGATTTCAGTCAGAATATCAATACATTTTGGGGAGGGTAACATTAAAGTTCATATGGAAAAATAAGGATCTCAGAAGACTGGCCAAGAAATAGTCAAGAAAAATGGAGGATTTGTCTTCTGAGACAGTAAAAATTTATTATAAAGACATTAGAATACAAGATCATATATTAACATAAGTATAGACAAACAGATGTGTGAACTAGAAAAACAGGTCCAGAAATAGATACAATAAAGAAACTTATTTATAAAAATCATGAAATTTTAATGCAAAAGAGAAAAGATGATTTATTTAAGAAATGGTGCTGGCATAACTAGAACAAGCTGGACCACTTCCTCTTACTATATAAACACAAATTCCAAAAAGACTAAAAGTTCTGGATTAAATTAATTATAATGATGAAGGCATTAGAAYACAGAGAATAATACTTATTTAACTTTGAGGTTGAAAAGTTTTTCCTAAACAGGCAGATATCATGAAGAGAAAAACATAAAGCTCACATATTTTATAATAAAAATTCAACCCTTTATAATAAAATATGCAAATGATAAGTTAAAAAATATCTGTGGCACAATGGCATCATCATTAATGAACAAATATATAAAGCAATTTTACAAGTTATTGAGAAAAATGCAAATAATTCATACAAACAGGTGAAGGGAATTCACAGAAAAGAAAGATGAAGCAGTCAATTAACGTGAAACAACCTCACTAGACGATAAGCAACTATGGGACACGATTTCCCCCCATCAGCCTTGCCATAAAATAAAACAACAGAGATAGAGGAAGAGACAGGGAGAGAGAGTAGAAGGAAGAAACTAGAAGGAAGAAGGAAGAGAGCATTTAACATTGGTAAAGATTTAGGAAACTGGAAGTAYTCATATACTAGAGAATATAAATTACCATGACTCTTTACAAAGTAGGATGGTATTATCTATTTGATGTCAAATAATACTAGTTTTAAAAAATGCAATCTTTAGAAATAATATTATCAATAAAGTACAATATGAATATAAAGATATTTAGGGCTGGGGTTGTGGCTCGGTGGTAGAGCACTTGCCTAGCACATATGAGGCCCTGGGTTCAATCCTCAGCACCACATAAAAAATTAATTAAATAAATAAAATAATGATTAAATTCTTTAGGAAAAAAAGATATTTAATACAACAATATTTTTTAGTGGCAAAAACAGTGTCTTAGTCTGTTTTCTCCTGCTATAACAGAATTCCTGAGACTGAATAATTTATAAAGATAAGAGGTTTGATTTGGCACACAGTTCTGAGTCTTCTTGGTTTCTAGTCAGGGCCTCATGGTAGAGAGCAGAAGGGGAGAGGATATATGCAGAAGACAAGGAGGGGACAAAGGAGCTGACCTGCTTTATTACAACCTGCTCTAGAAAGAACTAATCCATTCCCATGAGAACCCAGCCTCTGGGGAAAGACATTAATTCCTCTGAAAGGTTCCACTGGCAAACAGATTTCAACACGAGTTCTGGCAAGACAGCACATCCAGACCACAGCAGCCAGGTACATAAATATCTGTCAAAAAAGAAACGGTTGAATATACTGTAGTGTACTCTTCCTTCTATAGCCTAAAGCTATTTAAAGAGTGAACGATTATTATTTAGTGCGAAAAATAAGTTACAAAGTAATGAACAAAGTATGATCCCACTTCTGACAAAACAAATTGCCACATATACATTCAAACCCTATGTCTATTTATTTTTTTTTAAATCTTTAATTTTTTTTTTAGTTGTAGATGGATAATACCTTTATTTATTTATCTTTATGTGGTGCTGAGGCTTGATCCCAGTGCCTCGCAAATGCTAGGCGAATGCTCTACCACTGAGCCACAACCCCAGCTCCCCTATGTCTATTTAAAAAGGAGCTTGGGAAAGTTATGGAAAGATACATACCAAACAAAATACCATCACTGCCTATCGCAGATGAATGGAAATGGAAATGGGGTAAGAGAGCTTGTAAGTTTTTCTTTGAACATCTTCAAATTGTTTAGCGAGGGACAAGAAACACAAAGATTACTTGAAGGAAAATAAAGAAATAAAAACAAACAATAATAAAGAAACAAACCTGTTAGAGCAGAGAAAGAACAGTGGCCAACTATCATCATTACCTGTTTATCTTCATATAGGACAGTAAATTACATTTATTGTCACTTTATTTTTTGGCCAAAATAGAACAGATCTTCTGCTGTTTTGAAAGTTGGAAGCAAAATTTAAAAAAAAAAAAATCCAGGTTAAAGTATACTTTACTGCTAAGCATTTGTGACTTTAAAAGGGGAAAGAATTCTATACTTAAAAAAAAAAAAGAAAAAGAATTTTCCCCTTTAATGTCTAAAAGAAAATCTAAACTGTAAGGTTCCCCCCTCCTCCACCCTGGGAGGGCTGTGTGCTGGAACAGGAGTGTGCACACCAGATGCTCTGGCTTTATGGCAGGGGCAGGAACCCCGATAAGAGAAATGGGATGTTTTGCAAATTATTTGGATGAAAAGAAAAAGGAAAGGAAATGATGAAATAAGGTGGGGGGGGGGAGAGAGGATGAGGAGGAGGAGGAGGAGGAGGAGGAGGAAGAGGAGGAAGAGGAGGAGGAAGCAGCACAGGCAGAACAGAATGCACTGCAGGCTCCTGAACGGCTGTGGAACCTGGCATTTTAGTTACCTCGGCTTTGCATCTCACTTTGCATCTCACTTTTATTTCATGGATAACAAATGTCTCACTGAAATAATAACAATCCCCCCATCTCTACAGGCCTTCTTCTTTCACAAGCATATTTGCAGCAGGCGCCTCCTCMGCTCCGCTCTTGGCCTTCCAATCCATTCTCAACAGCAGATGTCCATGTCTGTCTGAGGGCCTTGCCTACCCTCAGCCTGCCCGACCCTCATCCACCTCGCTCCCCTCCCCTCCCCTCTCTGGCTTGAGCCCGTCACACCTTCCTCCCTCTCCCTGCTGTGTCATTCTTCCTCATGCCACACACCCCCTCCCACCTTAGCTCCTGGCACCACTGCCTACTCCACATGTTTAAGCACCACATCCTCCAGGAAGCCCCTTAGCCACACCCTATTTATGGGTCCTTTGTCACCCTGTTTATGGGTCCTAACATGGCCATTGGTCCTAGTGAACATCACGTAGGGAGGGGTCATGAAGGACCAGGCCTATTTTATTTCACACCATCCACCTATCATCTTGCCCATACCCTGGCACATGTCAGGTACTCAATTGATACTGGCTGACCACATGAAAAATTTAGTCAAGTAAACTGAAGGCCCGGCTCAAATGCGATGCTTCTCGGCTTTAGCAGGCTCTCCGAGTTCTCAGTGCCTCTACTGGGGCACATTATCACTTGTGTTAAGAGTCTTCTTTTTTCTATCAGACTGTGAGCAACTTAGAAGTCTTATTTACCTTGATAATGCACACCTTGCGTAAGCCCTAAAGCACAAGGTTTCTTGTTTGTTTTATAGTTCTGGAGACTGAACCCAGGACCTTGTACGTGCTAGACAAAYGCATTAAGCTACATTACATGTAGCTACCATTAAGCTGCACCCCCCTCTTAACAGCAGATGAACTCACACACTGCAGGGAAGTACAAGTGGAGGCTGCAGCCTCTAACCAATCACAGATGGCATTTTTTTCTTGCCCAGTGGACCGCAGCACAGAACATGAGCACCTTGGGGATATGCAAATACATATAAGACTCTGCCCATGGAGAAATTAAAATTAGAGCTAAACTTGAAATGTAGCAGTAGTATGTGGGTGAGGGGACGGGAGGCGGGCCCTTATTCAGAAACCAGAGAAGTGAAATTACTGAGTGGTGATTTATTTTAAGTATGTTTTTCTGTACGGTCTAGCTTTCCTTCC